ATGTCTGAGACACTTTTGCGGACATGTGGGCAGCAGGACAGAGAAAACATGTCTGAGACACGATAACGGAAATGTGAGGTGTATGTCCGACTGAAGATGTCTTAGACGCTGTAATTGACATGTGAGATGTAGGACAGCGTAAACATATCTGACACACTGTGATGTACATGTGAGATGTATGAAAGAGTAACATGTCTAAGACACTGTAATGGACATGTGCGATGTACACATGTAATACAAAGTAAACATGTCTGAGACACTGTAACAGACATTCGAGGTGTAGGACAGGGTATGTCTATGGCATTAATTGATATGTGAGATGTATGACAGAATAAATATGTGGGACTTATTGTAAAGAACATGTGAGGTGTATGACGGTGGAAACATATCTGAGACACTGTAACGGACATGTTGGAATTAAGGCAGAGTTAATCATGTCTGAGACACTTTTTTTTTCTAGACAATTTTCAGATCTTAGATTTGAGTTGTCCATCTGTGTTAATTTCTAGAAAATGGTATAGGTATGAAGCAGGCATTCTGGTGTCTGTAGTAATCATAATTTCAAGTTGCGTCGTTCAATGTGATATATGTAATTAATAACATGAGAATGTTAATTTACAATTTGAATATGACTTCTTAATTTAAGTTTAAAATTCAGCTTGAGTTCACGATAATAATGTGACCCATAATATTGTTAAACTAGTATAATAAATTGTGACAATTTCTTTTACCAAGTGGAATAACTGGCGAGTCTAGAATAGTAGAATAATTCTCATTTAACTTATGTACATTCGTTACAGGAATTTCGATAACAATGGGATGTATCATCCATCTTTTTACGGTAATATCCTTTATAAAGGTAACAAATTTAAGAATTGTACTTCAAATCTTTCTCTTTGGCTAAATAGATTTATAAATAAATGTAATTACTGTATTGTTGTTTTTCCATCACTGCGGCTGGCAGTTTTCCGGATTAACATAATTCATTTATTAATTGTTTGAAGCAATACTAAAATGTTTCTTTTGTTTTGTCTTAACATTGCAAAATGTCTTTTCTTTCTGCAATTGTGTGTTTGTTATGTATTCAATCGTTAAGTTAGAATTCAATCAAGTGCGTTTCCTGTACTTATTTTTATTTGTTTATTCTTATGTGTATCTTTCATTAGTCCACTGATTATGATTAAAAGAGGGGAATCGAGTTTAACACCCCTACATCTATATGTCCTTATTGAGGAAACTCATCATTGGATATTTTATGTAATATCTTAAATTTATCTTATTTAATGAATTTGGTGTTCGATTTCAAATCTTTGATAGTTTCTGTTAGATTTCTTTTCGTATTTTTGACCCGGGACAATTTTGAACATGACGCATAATATAAGACACCGGTCTTTTGTCGAAGACTATACGTTGTCCTCGGGGTGTCTTTTGTTGAAGACTATACGTTGCCCTCGGGGTGTCTTTTGTTGAAGACTATACGTTGCCCTCGGGGAGTCTTTTGTTGAAGACTATACGTTGCCCTCGGGGTGTCTTTTTGGTTATTTCGATGAAAACGAATACTATATTTGTTTTTGATTGGAATTGTTATCATTTTACTATTTACCATAATGTTTTCTGTGAACTTGCAATAAATAGCGCCCAAAGGAGAACGTACCAAACAACGATAAATTCTATTTGGATTTGGGATAATATTTTGTCAATAGTTTTCCCACTGTACCTTTTCATTCATGTAAAACGCAGTACGAGTTCTACAGAAGAAATGTTATGAAGACTTTGATATCACATGTTATATTAATAATGTTGAAAAACTTTGAATACTTTAAAGGACAGGGGATCAAATGTTACCATAGAACAAGCGAATGACATGTTCTACCCAAATTTAAGACAAATATCATGATTGCTTCTGAAAGCATTGTCTGTAGGTTCTTGCAGTAGTTACCGATCTTCTGATAGCATAGTCTGTAAGATTTTGCAGTAGCTAGCGATCGTTTTATGCACTAAGGCGACCTAAAGGTCAACAATGATTGAAAGTAGATTGTATAGTCGTGTGGCTATGCTACAGACAATATTGGCTAGATTAAATGTGTGGAAGTTCTAAAGCGTACGGATTCTTCAGGTCACAGAAAAGTTGCACTAGCCTTTGACAAACATTCGCAAATCATAATGATAAATTACAAATGATCATAACTCACCGAATATTAAAATGAAAATTTGAAATCAATAATTAAGATTATCTATTATGTAGTGTTTATTTTAAATTTTAAGTTCAAGTTTTATTTCTGAAACCAAGTCAAAATATCTCAGGATAAACCATGAAAAACTGCCCACCCTGTGGGTACCTAGGCGGCCCCAGACCCCGCTTATTGTACTGTCTTCTCTTAAACAAACACTATGGTATGGCTCTGAGTGTATTTTGAACTCAAATCAGAAAAAAAGAAACTCATTGGTCACTTACTCGTTAATATTCTTTCGTCATTTTTCAGGTGTGAGATAATTTTGAAAATTCTTCATTTTTTAATCTCAATTTGAATTTAGAATAAAAATCAAGATTTTTTTATGGATATATCGAAAGATGTCAAATTAGAAGATATATATAAATAAGTTCTAAACGCAAAATGAGTCCACAGTGAACACAGTTAAATTATGCACGTAGTTAAAATGAAGATTGTTGCTGCTTGCGTTGTGCATGTATGAATCTGTCTTCAACAAGAACGCTTATAACCAAAGGTCTAGGACAACCAAATATAGAAATAAACAGGGAGGTTTAGAAACGAAATCTGATGTGCCATAGGTAACATCTATTTGAATGCTAGAAAAGACAAGTGATATATACTGACCCCTATAAATAGGGAAATCGCAGAAAATTACATGTTGTAAGAAGATACACGTAGAAGATAAAACAGATGAAATCTTTCAAATAAATAAGCAAAGTTAGGTGCATATCTTGATTATTTCATTTGGTGGGTTGTTGTGTCTTGGACGTTTACCCAATATTCGGATGGAATATTACAAAATTTAATTTTTTTCAGCAAATAAGGCTGTGTAATTTTGTTCTTTTTATTGAAAAACACAAGTTGTAAAGAAATCATGTAAATTGTAAGTTTTTTATACGTCAACACACAGAGTCGTGGTTAGCAGACTACGCTAGTGTTATATGCCACTCACACCGAAATCATTGAGATGTTTTTAATTTAACTTTCAATCCTTAATTTACGCATTAAGTGTATGTCATGGGCGATAAAATATATGAATAAAGAGGAGCTCCATGCTCTCAATTTAGTTACTATTTCGTTTATTATCTGATGGTGTGGCAACTGTTAAAAATAATAAGTATACATTAACATAAATATACAGTTTACTTTTGAAATACTATCATATTACATAACATCGTCGGCATTTCTTTAAACAGGACGCATTTTATTGGCAAGGAATATCCATGGCACAAACTGGAAGTATACAGTTTTAACTTTTTAGGTTATTTGTTTTGAACCTTTATGTTGCTGAAAAATAGACCCATGGTCTCACAACAGGGAGCACAGAAACAGTCCATAAAAATGCTGTAATATTTTCTCCATGCACCACATTCAATTCTATAAGCAGCTATACCGGGAGTGACACACCAGATGTGTTCGAAAGCCAAACATGCGAAACAACATCCCCAATATAAAGCAATACATATTCCACAGATGGCTGTCAAGAACTTGTAACAGCAACTCTTTCCTCCTTCAAAGCATCTGTAGCTGTTTCGCCACACACAATCAATAGCGTGAGCCCCTGGTATTTCTGCAAGGATATCTTCGAAGGCAATCTTCAAAAAAAGAAAACAAATCTCTTCTATTAACGTATGTTTTTATATTCTCTGAGTTATCCTTTTATTTCTAACAATCTATATTTTCAACAAAAATTTTGAGTTCTATACGCAACAGAATTGGTATCGTTAATCTTGTCCACAAAACAATAATATCTTAACTCGAACATATAAAAACATTACATTTCATTCATTACTGGTAACACACATTCCTCTAAACCCCCATAATACGAAAATCTATTATTCTACAGATGCGTGATGATTGTTTTTAAAACATCATTTTAAGTTTGATTCATATTGTTTAATCTTTCTGTATGTGTATGTCCATGTCTGTTCGTCTTTCCATTTCTTTCCTTGACAAACGTTTTTTTTTTCGAGAAACATTTTCATTCACAAAAACGGTTTTATGTTCACCATGTGCATAGTTCGGTTAAAAGTCTCAAAAGGTCGAAAATACTTGACATTTTTCACTTTAATGGTAATGGTAAACATATTTCGAATAAAAGTTGTTCATAATTAATGATGAATATGTATTTGAATATACCTTTATGTGACTATTTATGTCATTAGGATCTCTGTTCTCCATATCCATGCCCATGGCATCTCCCCCAGATTGTTGTTGTTGTGACATGCTGAATTTGTCCAAAACTTTCGATCAATCTCGCCAGCAATTTGCTCCTTTGACAATATATCAAATCGTTTTTATATGTGTTTCTGTTATAAACCATGGATACACTAACACCTGGTGTCCGCAATTGGTTAACAGAGGGAGCAAGGATGGATAAACTTGCACTGAAGCATAAACGTATTTTAACATTAAAAAAACATATACAATATATACTATTGATATGGAAAATGTTGAGATTTATTAATAGCTCAAGACGCTTACAGAGATGAATGGGGAAAGTATTCTATGGACTCTTTGTTAGCGTTTAATTTAACTAATAATGTTTATAGTCAAAAATTGCATATCATAATTATCGTACCCTTAACAAGTCGCCTTTGTATTAATTTTTATGAGACAAGGAAAATTATATAAGTGTACCTTATATTTAGTGGCATTGCCTGATCTTGCATTTGATCCCCTAATCGAGGAAAACGTATTAGAAAGAAAGTAAACATATAATACAATTTATTTATTGACTTGTAATAAATTATTACTGTCAGAACTGATTTCAGTTTTTAATTGCAGGAGATGGTATGATGATCATCGCAAAGACAAAAATATTCGTTGAGATTTGACAAGTATCCCTGTTTTAGTGCTCTTTGTACAAATGCAATATACATTCTACATGACATAAGATTCAAATTGGTCAACAGATGATAATATGAAAAACCTGAAAAGAGATTTGAAATTAGATTACTATATACATATGAGTACAGACAGTGTTCTATAATCAAGTAAGTTTCAATGGCAAAATATAAACAAACATGATAAAAATGAAAAGTAGATAGGTACTCGAATGAATACAGCCGTAGAGCGTTAGTCGATAGTCTGGTTTTTATTAAGAAAACAGTACAATATTGAAGATCGATTATTCAAGATAAACAAATGAACAAATTTACAATATTACCAATTTATCACAAATTGAGAGAATGTTGAAAGTCTGATAAATTATTCGTATTTTTTTGAAATAATCTCTTGTCAAAATTAGAGCTTGACATATTTTATATAAACACCAGTTCTATGGCTATTCAAAACATAATCTCACGTAATAATTAACTTATTTCCAATTCTTCTTAAAAGAAAAGTTAGGATGTTCTAGAGACTTCAACAAAACATTACATTACTTGATATGTTGATATGTTGAATGATCTGACTCTATGTTTTTTTTGTCTTTTATTCTATATGAAATAAAGAAGGTGTATCTGGACGTTACTGAGACAGCAAAACACCTCGACGATAATGAAGTAGGTGGAGAGTGTTCTGACAAACCCCAACAATTACTGGAGATTAAAGCAGGTGCTTCAGAAAGTTAAGAAGTACTATTCCAATAGTTAAACCTGTTTTTTTTATATCATGGCTACTGAAGGTATATAATTAAAGGAGCTACTTAACTTGTATATAAATAAAAAGTAATGCTAAGTAGGTGCTACCAGATTAGCCCCGTTTTGGATTTTAATAAGTTACGATTGATATAAATGTATTGTTCCATCAACTTGTTCTTAGAGGTTATCAAGTTTGCGTTGTAGTAATATCTTTGAATATTGTCCTTATCGGTACAAATATTGATTTTATTTTTGATAGTTTAATCAACTGTTATCCAAGTATCAACACGTATGTATTGTCCTACATTTTGATATTTTGGCATTGTATGATGCCTTTTCGCTAAATCCATCGAGGGGTACTGATTGATATTTTAATCCGGAAGGTCAAGGTATTTTTACTTGAAATTGGACTTTCAATAGCTTTCAGTAACTGCAAGTACCCTTATATCTGTAATGTTCTTAAAACACTCTTCCATGCAAATAAGGGGATTGAGCGTTAAACCCCGCCCGGCACATTCTTTATGTACCTGTCCCGAGCAAGGAATCTGTTATCCACTGGTTGTCTTTGGTTGTTGTCTGCCATATTTGTATTTTGTTGATTGTTGTAGTATACATCAGGTGTTGGCTTTCTCTTTTGAATTGTTTCAAATTTTTTCATACCGGGGCCTATTATAGCTTTCTATACGTTATGGATTTTGCTCATTGTTTAAGACCGTACTTTGGCATGTAGTTGTTAAATCCTTTGGTCTCCTGTGGATAACTGTCTGAGTGGCAATCATACCACATCTCCTTTTTTGTATTGTCCTCAATAACACATCTTTGTCCTTTTGCTTTATTGACAGTTGTCTCATTTGCAATGATTCCACATCTCCTTTTTTAATAAAGGTAAATATATTGCAAAGTGTTGGGTTATTAACAAAACAATAGAAAATACAATGACCAAAAGAAAACAATAAAATAAACAAACTTTACTTAAGCATTTAAGCATGTTAAATATATCATGGTATAGCATAAGTGGTGAGTGTCCAACATCCGTTGAAATCGGATTTATATCAAATATCAAGATAGTAAAGTTTGATAAGGAATATGATTTATACCAATACGCTAAATGGAATTTTTTATCTTATGATATAATGTTTCTGTCGAGTTTAATTCCGTGTACTTTTACTTGCATGTACTGCATTTAATAAAATTTTGAAAAAAAACTGATTCAAATTTAAATATAATTGTGTGTTGACGTAAGATGTGGTACGATCTCTCATTTCTAATTATCTATATTTTTGAACCATTAAAGAGTTAACACGATTTTCATCGTACCATCGAAATTTAAAAGCCGTTGATATAAATAAATTTATGTATTAAAAATTCAACTTGATTAATAGTTGAAAATCTTTCAATCAGAGGCCAAGGAATTTTCAGTCAATATAAAAACAGTTAACAAGTAAAATTCTGTTAATTAGAATTTGTGAAAATGGCGTCAAGACAAATAGTAGACCTAGAACACAGGGATCCTCATGACATTAATGACCATGTTAGGGTAAGTGTAAAAACTTATTTTCATGCTGACAAAACGTTAACATGATAGATGGGTTTATTGATAATTTTAAAATTTGCTTTTCAAACGTTTATTAATTAATTAATTGAATTAATTTTTAATCTAAAATATTTTTTTTCTTCCAGTTTTTAGAGGATTTCAATAAATTAAAGTTTGTAGAAATGTAAATGGTTTACCTTTGGTGCTTTGATACCTAAAATAAATATTTGAAAATTATCTACAACTACCTATCAGTTTATTGATTAAAAAAAACGGATTTTTTTTTATTCGAAACATGGGATACAGTTTTAAATCATCATTTGGTTATTGCAAAGGTCTCGTTTTAAATAACTCTTTGTATTGTTTATTATGAATACACATTATTTACATAAACTGCAATTTTCTCAAATATAATACACCATTTAAATAGATGTTTAAAGTAAATGTCTCAGCTTAAATAAAACTGTTTTATGGTGAATTAGAATATAAATCACCTAGATAATAATGTGTATTTCGTATAAATTAGGGCAAATTATACTAACAAAAATATACACTCCTATACTCGTATGTAATCATTTGTTTTATAAAATCAATGTTTGTGAATTTCTTGCAGGTTGCATTCGAAGATGTCTTGGCAGAACCTGATGGGGTCCACAGCTTTGATATGGTGTGGGATTGCAGCTTCAAGTGTTTTGAATGCGCAAAAAATTGCAGTTATAAATTGGCTTCAGCACTTTGTGGTTGTTGTATTGCGTTTTATTGGGGAGTAGAGTTTGGATGTCTGGCTTTTAACTGTATCTGGTGTTACTCACCCGCCCTCCGACAGTACAGTATAATAATGGGAAACCTACAAAAATATTGTGGAATTACCATCAACTGTTGTTTTGCTCCATTCTTTGAAGTTTGCGGTCTGTGGTTCAGCAGAATAACTGTTTATAATAAGTCATAACGAAAAATAATTTGACATATATGCTATTTATTATAAAGTAAAGGCAACATTTGCATATTGATGCAAGCGGCATAATTATTTTACTTGTGCTATTCATTTTTTGTTATCTTACTATCTTGTTTGATTAAAACTTTTCTTTGAAAAATGTGTTAATATTTTGGTTGTTGAAATACAAGTTCAAGCTAAAAGAGTATTTATTAAATTAACCATATCTGAATGTCAGAACAGCTATAGAATTGGACAAAATACATCAAACTTTTATAAACAAAAATATCCTCCCATTATAATATACAATATGGCTAAGCACAAATAAGAAACAAATCAGAAAATATCAATACATTTTTTAAAGAGCAGATTAATTACAATGCTTGAGCAAACATTTATACAAACAAAGCAAGCAAGCCAACCAAACCTTTAAACTACAAGCATTAGGAAAATACCTCTAATATTTCGAATTCATTAACATTAATACAATATTTCCTTGGAAGTTAAGCCAATAACAATCAATCCTTCTATGATTTCAAAAATTTAGTAAATAATTTTAATTTGCAACTGGCTAGCTCGAATGGACATTTTCATTGCAGTAAATATATTCTGAGACTGCATGTAATTTTTGATATATATATAGTAGTTCAGGAAACACAATGTTGAACTGTTTGTTTCGAAATCGTTTAACCACTGGTTTACTAGATATCAAACCAGTTTTAAAAGAGACAACTATAAGATCACAAAACATATCATATACACAACGATCTACAGGTATATCATTTTTTTTTTCATTAAGACATCATAGCAGATTTTGGCTGTAAAATAACACACATTTTTATCTGTAAAAAACTGAATTTATCATTTTAATTGGAAAACTAAATCAAAATATATTTAAACGTGCTATTATGGTTATATCATTTAGCACGCAAATTTTCAAATACTGGGCTGTTAAGTAATACATATAAAAACAAGAAGATGTGGTATAATTGCCAATGAGACAACTCTCCACCAGAGAACAAATTACATAGAAGTTAACAACTATAGGTCACCGTATGGCCTTCAACAATGAGTAAAACCCATACCGAGAAAACTAACGGCCTGATTTATGTACAAAATAATGATATACAGCAACAAACGACAATCACTGAATTACAGACTCCAGACTTGGGACAGCCACATACAGAATGTGGCGGAGTTAAACTAGTTTGAAGTCGCCAAATCCCCCCTTTTAACCTGGGACAGTGGTGTAACAGATCAACATAAGAACAAACTATAAAAATCAGTTGAAAAGGGCTGAACTCATCAGATCGATACAAAGCAGAAATACATCTAACAAAAACACAGAGGTTGCAGCGTACTTATACATCCCCACAACTAAGTACAGATCTAAGAGTACTGTTTATCATCTTCAATAATACTTGATTGATTGATTGATTGGCGTTTAACTCCACTTTCAGCACTATTGTTCTATTTCGTGGCGGTCAGCTTTTATTGATGGAGGAACCGGAGAGAACCACCGACCTTTGGTAGGATAACTATCCATCCTAGTCAATTGAGATTGGAGTCGAGCGCACCTACCACGTGCGGGATTCGAACTCACAACCTCAGCGCTGACATGCTAGTGAGACAGTAGATCGACTACTTAGACCACACCGCAAGCGAGGACTCCATATGATAATATTTGATTACACATTTTATAAAAAACACAATCTATACTTTACAACAATGCCTTCATATTGTCAAGTTTTATACTTACCAGTTATATTCATACATAAGTATTTCTCTCCAGAAAATTGTGGCTTAAATGACCTATATGTAAGAAACTTCCAACATTAATTACACAGCAAGCCATGTATCATTTCTATTTATATCTTTTAAAATTGTTATTTTCAAACTGTTTAATTGCATTTTATTAATAGTTTAATATCACGTGAACTATGTGGTTCCAATTCTTAATTTTCTTTTTACAACATGCATTAAGCCATATAATTAAAAAAAAATATTTATTTATTGGAGAATCTAAGTCTTGAACACAATCTAAAGATGCATGACAACTAGGACATAATACAAGTCATCATTCCAAAGTCTCCATCTAAGCCAAATTTGGAGTCTGCTTTCCAACCTCATGTTGCTCTATTTTTCGCAACATTAATACCTAAATAGTCGTGGAGACTCCAAATTTACGCATCGTTTTAAAAACAAATTATAACAAAAATACCGAACTCCAAGGCAAATTCAAACGTTATCAACCAAAAGAACGAGTTGAAAACAACTGTCATGTTCCTGACTTGGTACAGGCATTTTCCGAAGAAAAATAGTGAATTAAACCTTGTTTTCTAGCTAGTTAAACCTCCCACTTCAGGGGCGGATCCAGCCATTTATAAAAGGGGGTTCCAAACCCAGAATAAAGGGGGGGGGGGGTCCAACCATATGTCCCCTTTCAAATGCATTGATCGTCAAAAAAAAGGGGGTTCCAACCCCCGGACCCCCCCCCCCCCCAAAACCCTGGATCCGCCACTGCACTTATATGCCAGTTGTTTATGGTTCCGTTATACTGATAAAATTGGGTGACTAACCCAATCAGACATAAAAGGTTAATGTGACATAATTGGGATCCAGCAGCCAAAACAGTGTAAACAGACATACAGCGCGACTGACTAAAAAAATTACACATACATACAAAACAAAGCTCTTTTAATATCGTATGAGTTAAGAAATGTTTTCTCTATACGCGGGTGAAGTTGGATTTATTGCTGCTAAGGTGAGGAAAATTTTAAATTTTTAAATTGAAATCGTCTCGTTTGTCATATATTCAGGTACTGAGATGACCGCTGTTGTCAAATTCGAGGTAAATGTCTAGAAATGGTGCAGAGAAAGCTGTATCTGTGGTTTGTTTAATCTTTAGTTCAAGAGGATATACTAATAGGACCCCATCAGAAAAGTTTCGATCGTTAATGGAAAGAACATCATCATCAATGTACCTGTATGTGAAATTGAATAATCTAGCTTCCTTGGTCTTCTTATTTTTTACAGGCCTACAACGGAACTTCAGATGATGAATTGGACGCACGAAATTTATAAAGAGTAATTTGAATGTTATAATTAAATGTTATTCAGTCAGTAGCATCACCTTTTATGCTTTCTCATTTATATTGGTATTTCATATAACGTTCTTTTATATTATTTTTTTTTTAATGATATTAATCAAAATAATTGTCTTTCCTTAATAAAAATACAGAATTATTAAAACAAGTATTATTAGTATATTTTTATCCAAAATGTAATAAGTAAACTTTAAAGTCTTTGGATGCGATTAATTCATACTACCGGTATATTTAAGTAATCTATGTAAAAAAAAAAGATGTTTCGATATGTGGACTTTATTTCGAGCAGATATGTCAAACCTGATCTCAATAGAAATGTTTTGCATTCTTTAACTTATATTTTAACTTGTGTTTATTATGTTGTTGCTATACAATTTATTTCATTAATATCGCGTTATGGTTCAAAAAGATTGTAATGATATATAATTCAAATTTTGGATTTTAATTAGGGTTGACGAATTACAGATAGAAGATTAAACTTATTTTGAATTTAAATGGTTTTGCCATTAAGTATATATGAATATATTTTTTTCAAATTTGAAATTTATGCAAAAAGTATTATGAATATCAACAAAACCAATATTGCAATGGTAGATCTCTACTTACATACTTTGGGGAGTAATTTGAAACCGAGATAAATTAAAAACAACAACAGCAAACAACAGAAACTGAGACGACAAAAGACAACCAAACACAACAAAGAAAATAAAAAACTGGGCAATAATAACACCACCAAAAACAGATAGTATTTTATAAGGTTGATGCAGTAATTTCCTGTCTATTAAGACGGTCACAAATATAGAAAACCCTTCCGACCGAGACCTCAGCAAACACACAAAAAAATAAAAATTAAGGAACAAAACGTATTGACGGGTGAC